AAAAAAAAAAAAAAAAAAAAAAAAAAAAAACACATCTTAGTAAATAATACCTTCTCAGCTTTGCATCGAAGCTAAAAAAAATTAAGAACAGATTATCAAGAATAAATAATAAAATAAAATACTAATATACCCCAAAAAAAGATTGTCAATAGGCCAACACCACAATTCTATTAAGACTCATTATTGTTTATTATAGCTTGTATATTTACACGAAATAATTTGTTCAAATTTTCTAAATCCCCTGATTTTTCTTAAAATAGACTTTTGAAATTTGAAATATATATTAGGCTCTTGTAGCTTAGAACCCTCATGGCTATGTGAACCTTACACAATTTTATTATTTTTATTCCAGAATTTTTGATTTAATTACACCACTAAATATATTATAGTTTTTGCGGCAACAGTTACTTACAGAATTCTAAAAATCAGAGTCGTTATTTGGGTTTGGATTTTTCAGTGTTAATTAAGCCTGTCATCTTTATACAGTTTAATTTTAATTATAAGAGAAGTAATATATATTGACCGTTTATTTAAAGATTTGTTTTAAATTATTAATAACTTAATTATAAAGTTTCTTATGTTTTGGAATAAAGGTGTTAGCTAACAAATATAATTGAGAGATTATATAATTGAGAGCCATAATTGAGAGATGTGGCAGGTATAGATTTTAAATTTTTTTTTGGGGGGCTAAATAATTTTTTATTTTTATTTTAATAACTTCTAGGTCAAAATCTTTCTATAAGTAACAATTTAAAAAAAAATAGATTATTACGTGGATTTCGGGAAGATTTACGCTCTTTTAACCTTTCCCATAAAAACAGACTCTAGAGTATAGGAAGAGTCCCTTTGGCTTAGCTGCCGTTGTAATTTTTGTACTCCTTCGGCATATTGTTCCGTAGGCATTCTCATGATTTTTATATCATAATTTAAAAAAAAAAATACTGAAAACTTTGTCTTGTAAGATTAATAAATATTTTGTTATTTCAATTATAAAGCAGATGTAAAATATGTTATAAAAATAATTTTTAATTAAATTTAAGCTCAAAATATACAATTGCAATTATTTACCAAAAAGAATTTTATGGTTGAGAGTTAAGTATTTTTAATATTTTTAAATCATCATTATCATTACAGTATAGTCTCTGTCCCAACTATTTGGGGTCGGCTTTGCATACACAATTTAACAGTATTTTACACTGGTTGTCGTCTTGACGCAACCTCATTATGGCAAGGTATGTGTCTCTGTTAAGTTCCCGTATGGTCACCCATCCGGAAACCAACAGCGCAACTGAACATCAGCGCTAAAGCGGCGACTGAATAATCCATTTCACCACACCACACCCCGTTTTAATTAATATTTTTAAATATATCTATTATTAATTATTATATACTATATCAAAGGCATCATTTCAACTTTTTTTTATACGCATAGATATCTTAGAGACCTTAGATGAGAATGGAGTGATGTAGGAGTACTGGTGACGAGGCTTAATTATATAAATCTCTAGGGCTCAAAAATATCTTAAATGAGATACCTGCCCCGCAAGAGAACATAGTACAATTATTTGTGGAAGAGAAAGTAGACGACAATATTTATAGTTTATGATACAGGAAAAATCTCCCAGGCCAGATGGTATAACCAATGGAATATTGGTAACCACATCGACTAACCGTTCACTGTCCCTACTGTATGACGTGGGAAAACTTATGGAGTTTCTTTTAATCCGGTATTTAGAAGTATACTTAATACAAAATGATGGGCTTCATAATGTATAGTATGATTTTTGTAAAGGTAGTGTAATGGGAATTACGCAATAATTGCTATATGTAAGACAGTCTAGGCGGCAATAACGAGGCGTGATGCGTATATCGTGGCCAGTTTATATGTTCAGATTGCCTTTAACTTAGTGTCATCATTCAAGCTTTAACGGACTGGGAAGTTCCAGATTATCTTTTATTTTTAAAAAAGTAATGTGATGATAAGCTTCTACATTGAGCAGAAGTTAGTAATTCCATTCACATTTGATGTACCATAAATGATAATTATTACTATGGAACATAATGTATAACAAGGTATGTAAACAACACCTGCCAACGGGTTTTCAAATAACAGTAGCGACTAATCCCATAGTAGTTGAAGAGGAAAAAGAAGTAACAAAAGCAGTAAGAACAGTTGTGGCTGAATTCCGACAGCAGGAACTTTCTCTTGTCATTGGAAAATCTATAGCAGTTGCATTTAAGAGAAACAATAGAGATACTCTTCTTGTTATGAAACTTAATAATACAAAGATTCTGGTTAGCCAATCGTCAATTACACAGGAATTATAATCGACCAAACCTTAAAGTTCAGAACTTACCCGAGAAGGTTTTTGGGTTTCTGACAAAATTCATACTTAAATTATGAGTATCTGAGAGTATCGCCTTTATTAAGTGTAATGCATTCCGTATAACTATATGTGCCTTACCTGGATTGACGCTCTTCATAAAGTTAAGGCAAATGCGGATATGCTATTGAAGGTTCAGCATAGTGCTATATTGCGGAGTATATGTACTTATCGTGCAATTACACAGCTGTCAATTTTCTACCAGGAATTTATCCAATCGAACTTGGTAATGGCGCAATGGACTTTCTTCTAACTTAAATTTTGATAAGATACGGGTTGTTTTGAATAGTATCTACATTTTTTTTAAATATTTTTTTATTAACCCATAGCGGCCTCCCCTAAAGGAGGAGGTTTCTTAACCATTTATACTCAGAGACAGGTGGTAAGTCCGTCGCCGGAGAGTGGGATGGTGACTCCAATTACCGAACTGATCTTTCGTTCGAGCAAATAAAGCCACCCGTGACCGAGTTTTGAACCTGAGGCAGTGCGCGTTAAGCACTGCCACGTTACCGACTCGGCTACACCGTTCATACATTAGATCAACAAAGTATCAGAACAAAGAAATAGACTACCACAAATGGATGACGTCACACATTTCGTCTACTGAAATATCTAACATGGAGCGTGGAAAGATTGTGGTTAACAAGAGCGATTGGTCAACTAGAAGTACCCACACTAATGGGGAAATTGCCTGCTGATAATGAAAGCTAGAGCTTCGATAGGCAATTCAGCAACGAAGTGATGTTGAAGGAGAAAACTGAACATAGTAGAAAGGGTCAATCGTAATAAGATTAATGGGTAGGGACGGGATGCACTACGAAAGTTTATGGTATCTGTAAGATTGTCATCAACCACATACTGTGTATGAGAGTCTAACCGGGTAATTTTAACCAAACTCACAATAAAAAGGGGCTATATAGAACAAAAATTTGTAGTTATAGTTTACAAGAGATTTTTGTAATTGTTGTTCATATCCATTTATTATATATATTTACTTTTGAGTATTGTACATTTTTGTCGTTGTTATTATTAGTATTAAAAATAACAGTATTGGAAACCCCGGAGAAGTAATATTTTACTATTAGTTCCCTCGGGTCGTTTTAGAATGCAATACGAAAATAAAGACTATAGTATAGATTTTGAAGTAGTTACCCTCCACGAAAAGGTCGTATCTATTTTATTATTTTACAATAGTTCAGTAGAGTTATTTAAAGTTATAATCAACAAATAAATTCTTTTTAAAAATTTTTGATCTCACTTATGATAAAAGCATACTGTTGTTTTGTATGTTCAACCCAAATATGTTTTTAGAAAAATAATAATTATTATTTATTATTCATTTAAAGAATTGTTAGATTATAATGTAAATCATATAACATATAATTTTATATTATAGAATCACAGTATTATAAAAAGAAATATTCTTAATTTCATATTAGTTAAAAAATTATTTTTATTCTATATGAGTGTTAATTTGTTTTTTTTATTAAAAATACAAGTTTTTAGATTATTTTTTGTTTAAATTCAATTTTTTTATATAGTTTGTTGTTTAAAACATTTTTTGTTTTGATAATAAAGTAAATTAATGTTATCTTGTTAATCAATTAAATTATACTATTTTTTACGTGAACGTCAATATTTGCGGTAAGGCGCAACAGAACGTGGAAAAATTCGCGGTAAATAGTTGATAATAATGGGGTATATCATAAATAAATAAATAGCCATATGGAACATAACTCCACCTCTGGATGGTTGTATGCGGAAAGTTTTAAATGTGACGCTCTCTTAGATAGTGACAAATAGCAAACAAATAATGCATTAACTCGAAACCAATTTTTTTCTTAGTCTACCATTTTATAGGTCTTTATTTAAAATATTTTAAGAATAATTCTATTTGAGAAACAAAAAAAAATTTAAATCTACATTTTCTTTAATAACATTGATTAAATATATACATCTAATTAAGAAAAATAAACACTTTTACGCTCCTCTTTCCATTTAATATAAGCTGAATTAGGTATTTTGTTCATATCATTTAATTGTTCTATAAATTGACATCTGATATTATCATCATCCGCATGAGATTTCATCAATGTTTTTAAAAATGTGCCCAAAAAATACTTTTGTCGGAATACTGAGGCTTCTAATACAACACGCATTATATGACCAGTTCTTTTAAAATGATTCAACACTTTTTCTATATCTGCTTCGTGACGATTCTAAAATATAACACAACAAATATGGAAAATTAGAAAATAATTTATACAATTTAAAATAGTAATGATGTCAATAGTTGTACAAAAATGAAAATTTCAAATAGAATTTACCAATTGTACAATGTACATATTTTGGTAATTACTTAGAATAAATAGAACATTAATTATTTAAAAAAATTAAACATTTGTTTAGAAATAAAATTACCAAATAAATTATTTTTACTTAACATATTAGTCTGTTTTTAGTTTAAGTTGTGTTATTGCTTATCCTATATGATAACCAAACCATTAGCACCTGTAGGTCAGGTTGGGCTAGGAACCAATCTATTTTTTTATACACGACCGGCATAATTGTGAACCATCCAAACAATACCCTACCTAATACCACTTATATATAAAATAGGGGGTTACTTTAAATACTTAACACTCCTTTGAACACTGGTTAATATAGAATTTTCATAAAAGATAAAAATGTACTTTTTTAAACCAGTTTTTGTCGCTGATATATGCAATTAGATTTTTTTACCACATCTAGTTTTTAGAATAAGAAATTAATAAAAAACGAGTTAATTATACAAAATGTTTTCTAAATTTATTATTGATTTAAATTTTTAACATATTACCAATAATATGTGCAAAATGACAATCATTCATATTACGTTTAACCTATTTCTTTAGTTTTGTAAGTTGATTTTTTCGAAAATGTATAAAAGTTGAACTTACTACATCTATTTAATTTAAAATTAACATAACTACATTAGAAATTTTAAAAATGGTACTGTTTAAATTGATATATAGTTAGAAAATTACATAATTACTATTAACAGTAAATCTACGAGAAAAGCTCAAAATTTCGTTAAAATAGCAATTTTTTTAAATTAATATCAAAATAAATTATTTCAATTAAAATAATAGTAATAATTTCTATGTAACTCTTGATGTTAAAAAAAAATTATAAAATAAAAAATTTAGAGCTATATTCCCTTTAATAACGGTTCAGTAGAAGTTGGGAATTTGTGATCACAATCATTATAAAAAAAAACATAGTAAAATTAATATCATCTCATTCAGCTTCGCATCAAAGGCTTAAAAATATAAATGCTTACTTGATAATCATCATAATCTTTAAATAATCCCATATAATCTTGTCCTTTATTTATTACAATAAGTTGTTCTCGAGCTGCTTTCACATATTTTGACTGGATATCTACACAAGATTCAGTCAATTTTGGTTGCTATAAAAAAGAATGAAAAATAATCTCGTAAATTCAAAATACCATTTATAAAACCTAGTAATAAGTTTAGGAATTGATATTGACAAATATTGAACATCGCGATATGTATATTATGCAATATTATTATATTGTCAACAAAAATAACTTGAAAGTTAGTTTATATATTTGTTATTTTAAACTTATTTATAATAAAATTAGTTATTTTATAAAAATAATTAAAGAAAATTTTTATTTTTTTAATTCAAAATAATAATAGTATATAACAGAATAAAATTTACACAAACTTAATCAATAACAGCATTTATAGAATAATACAGAAATAACATATTTATAGACATTTTTAGGAAAAAAAATGGCATTACTTATTAGCCTTATATACTGCCCTTGTAATATATACTTATGGTGATGAAAATTCGTAAATAATTGTTTCTTTAAGTTTGCATGGTTTTTGTCGAATTTGTATAAATAATGTACATATTAAAATGTCCCTATAAATTACTGAAATAATTGCAATGATATTCACGTTAAAAAAAACATCGTTGAAGACTACTATAAATTACTTATACATAACATTTGATCTTAATATAAATGCTAAAAACAAAGTCACACACATACAATAATGACAGATAGACACTTTGAAGTTATTTTTTAAAATGCTCTTTTTTGAAATATTGCCATTTTTTACTCAGAATTTGATTTGTTAAAAATGAAATTTATTGTTAATTAATTTTAGTAGATAATTAGAACTGTCCATTTGCAAAAGACGGTCTAAATTTTTTTTTTATTTTTACTTTTGTTTCTTTTTTACTAGGATTTGTCAAGAAAAAGATACATTAAAAAAAATATTTAGGACATATCGATAACCAGAGGTAGCTGTAAGACTTCATCCATGAAATTTTAGCGACATCCTATTTTTTAACTAGAAATTGTACTTTTAAAATGTTTTTAAGCGAAGAAAGATTATAAAAAAGATTGTTTTCTATGCTTTTACATATGTATTTTTGTAATTCAATGATGCATCATATATAAATTAACACATACTTTAATTAGATAACTTGACACGGTACCACCGTGTTTTCCTCAACCGCACATCACGTTATCTAATAGCTAATTATAATTAGAGCTATTAAATCACTTTTTTAGCTTCGATGCGAAGCTGAGAAGGTATTGGTTTTACTATGACGTGTNTCTACATTTTTGGATCATAACACATTTCACATTTAGGTACTACATTAACATTGATTCTTAGACATATATATTCAACTAAGTTAACACTTTTTATCAGCTCTCACCGAACCGATTTCTTTCAACAATACGTCAAAAGATCACAAATCGTATCTAGTCGAAGACATTACCCTCAAAAATTGAAAAAAATCTCCCTCATTCCCTATAAATGAGGGAAACCTCCAAAAAAATTACAAATTTAAAAATCGCTAATTTTCGAAATTTTTTCAATTTTTTTTACTTAAAATTGCCATAACTTTTTTAAAAATGACCGAATCAATATAATTTTTTTTTTTATAGATACCTTAGGTATTCACCTATCATTTTATATATTTTTGTGAACATTTGACCCTTTACCTGCCCACAGGGGGGGATTTAAAATGACAACTTTTTCACAAAAAATTAATTTTTTCAACTTGACTTTTGAAAATGTTCCGGAAGGTCTGACACTTTTATATATATCTTAAATTAAAGCTAATGTAATTTACTTTATTATGCAAAAAAAAAAATTCGGACTTTATTTTATCTTCACGGTGAAAATGGCTACCGAATGCTATTATTGTGTGAAAATTCTCGATTTTATTTTTTACATTTTTAACTTTATAATGCTATGACATATTGAAAAGTGTATGGATCAACATTATTTTTTTATGAGAAATAATATTTTTTAAAAATCCTTTTTTCATTCGACATACTTTATCTTAATTAGGATATTAATAATGAACTAGCAGATCATGTAGCTTTTGGAATAATCCACCAATTTTTTAAAATTAAACACTATCTAAAGATTTGCAACGAATCGTTTTTTTTGATAGTGATTTTAATCACTGTCAGATATCATTATACTTAATCCATCTATGCCACGTCACCACTGTGCCGCGACCCCCCTGTGCTGGGTTTTTTTTTAATTTAAAAAACAATAATAATTAAGGTCTCACATGGTAAAGTTGATAATCTTCTTTTTATTTTTTTGATACATTAGAGATATATTTGGCACATATAAAAATTTTTATTTTTTTAAAGAATAATGTCTTTATTAGGTTCGATGCAAAGCTGAGAAGGTATTAATTATACTATGGTATTTTTTATGTCTGACACCACATTTTTTCAGTTCTCACCGGCCTGGTCTCTTTCAACAATAAGATAAAAAGACACAAATTATATCTTGTTGAAGACATTACCCACAAAAATTAAACAAAATCATCTCGTTCCCCGAAAATGGGGGAAATTCGACAAAAAATTACGATTTTTCAAACCGAAAAATTATATTGGCTATATTTTATGTCAAACAAAATAGTTCTTTAGGAGGTAGGGTATATGTATCCTAATTAACACCCGCCTAAAATTTTTTTTATTATTTTTAAGGATTTATGTGTCAGTTATAAATATTTTCAGATAATAATTTCTTTTAGTAGAAATTTTGTGAGCACTTTTATAATATTATAGTGTACTTTATCAGCTTTAAATTGGTATATTTTTAATAAATACAGACATTTTAGAACATTTTTAAAGATCTGAAAATGGAAAATTTTTTTTAAATACGTAGGTGGTTTCGTTCAAGTTATAATGGACTTAAGTTTTAACAAATTGAATATTGAATAAAAAATTATGGTTCCTAGGTTGTCATATTAAAATTTCATAAAAATCTGACTTTTATAATAAAGTTATTGCAATTTTAAAAAGAAGACTTTTTTTGATTTTTCTAAATTTCTAAAATTGAGTTTTTCAATTTTAGGTACTGATTTAATTATAATTAATTAATTGTAATTAAAATTGTACAATGTAATTGTAATTTTATTTTAAATACAAATTACAATTTGTTTTTATGTTTATCAGTAGTTTCATTATAACAAAAAAAAAAAATGTTCTATGTATTATACGTGAGAAATTCATAATTTTATACTAGACACAGTATTCGTTTTATACGTGCTTACCCTGATTAAATATAATAAATCATTTTCATTAAGTTAGCGAAAAATAAGTTGATTTAAAATAAAAAAATTTGAAACTAAAATAGCTGTGTTCTATGCTAAAAGTAATAGATAATAATATGATTTTCGGTATAGTTTGGTTAATTTATTTAACAAACTCATAGCTCTTGGGAGACAAGTAAAAAAATATTTTTTGACCTCAAATTTTCATAGATTGTATTTTTATATAAAGAATAATATTGTGGGTAACCAAAAATATTTTCACAAACTTAAATATATAATTTCTGAATATATTTACCATGTTTGTATGAGCAGCTAATGCTGCTGGTAATTCATACGGTACAAGATATATTAATAAAGCATAAAAAACTTTGGCAGTTTTAACATCTACTTTGTACGATGTATACCAGCGACTGTATTCAGACCACAAACCAATGTTAAGGCAGCAATGGCGAAATACAAGGAGAGCTGCTTTACATACCGCAAAATCTTCCTTTGATAACCAATTAGACAACGTTTTATTAAATAATTGTTCTAGATATACTGAAAAAAATATAATATGGTTTAATCATTTAGACAGTTTAGAGAAAAATTTTGGAAAGTTATTGTTTTAGCTTCGATGCGAAGCTGAAAAGGTATTAATTTTACTATGTGTTTTTTTTGTGTCTGTGTAGGCTCAATCTCAGCTCTCGCTGGACCGATTTTGATGAAAAATATGTCAAAAGATCACAATTCGTATCTAGTCGAAGACATTGCCCTTAAAAATTAAAAAATTTCCTTCGTTTCCCTTAAACGGGGGAAATCCCCCAAAAAATTACAAATTTAGAAATCGCTAATTTTTGACATTTTTTAAATTTTTTTTACTTAAAATTGCCATAACTTTTTTAAAAATGACCAAATCAATATAATTTTTTTTTTTTTATAGATACCTTAGGTATTCACCTATCATTTTATATATTTTTGTGAACATTTGACCCTTTACAAGCCCACAGGAAGGGTTTCAAAATCGTAACTTTTTACAAAAAATTAACTTTTTAAACTTAACTTTTGAAAATGTATCGGAAAGACTGACACTTTAATATATACCTTAAATTAAAGCTAATGTAATATACTTTAATTTGAAAAAAAAAGTTTGACCTAANAATGTAATATACTTTAATTTGAAAAAAAAAAATTTGACCTCTGGACTTGTCTTCATGGTGAAAATGACTACCGTATGCAAAAATATGCTATTTTAGTGAAAAAATTCTTGATATTATATTTTACATTTTTTAACATTATGTTGCTATAACTTTTTAAAAAATGCATGAATCAATTCTATTCTTCAATAATGAATACTTTATATATACCTCTTGCATTCGACATACTTTTTTTTTAAATCGGACCATTTCCCTTTATACAGGGGGAGTGCAAACCTTTTAAAATGCGTATAGAAAGTAGAACTTTTTCAACTTAACTTTTGAAAATGTTCCAAAAATACTCCAAGCTTCAAACTAATGTTATAACAAAGCTTATGTTACGTACTATAAATTAAAAAAATTTATTTGTTCCAACGATTTATCTTCTACAAATAGCTGCCGTAGTAGCATAAAAAACATGCTATTTTCGTGTTAGTTTTGTATACTCTATTTTATATTGTAAACGTTAAATTTTTATATTTTATTGAAAAATATATGGATCAACACAAATTTTTTTTTAAATACTTAATAAATACAACTTTCATCCGACATACTTTTTTTGAAATCGGACAATTTTCCCGACAAAGTAGAACTCTTCAACTTAACTTTTGATTTGTTCATTTTTTAAAAAAGTTATGGTAATTTTAAGTAAATAAGTAGAAATTTACTGTTTTAAAAAGTTGTAATTTGTTTGGAGGATTAAAGAGCGCACTATTTCTGGAACAATTTTAAAAGTTAAAAAAATTGACTCTTATGAAAAAGTTGCTATTTTGAATCTCCTCCTATGGACAAGTAAAGGGTCTGATTTTGAAAAAATTTATATCAAATGAAAGGGAAAATATCTTAGGTTTCAATATAAAAAAAAATTATTTTGATATATTTATTTTTGAAAAATTTGTGGGAGTTCAAAAGAAAAAAAACAAATGTCAAAAATTACCGATCACAAAAATTGTAATCTTTTTGGAGATTTCCTCCATTTACAGGAAACCAGTGAAATTGTTTTAATTTTTAAAGGTAATGTCAACAAATAGATACGATTTGTGATCTTTCATATGTTGTTGAAAGAATTCGGTCGGGCCTGAGAAAAAGTGGCGATATGAAAAAAAAAACACATCATAGTAAAATAATAACTTCTCAGTTTTAACTTCTAAGCCAACGAAGCTAAAATTAATACAATTTTAAATTATTATAAGACGAACAACAATAATTTGTTCTACAAAATAACATTTTTTATTTTAATTCGGGTGCTGTTCACAGATAGAAGAAGGTTATCCAAGTAAAAATAATTTTATTTTAACTCATAGTACGTAACATAAGTTTTAATTTATTATTATTATTATTATGTACTGTTCTGGAGTATTTTCGGAACATTTTAAAAGTTAAATTTAAAAGGTATTTTTCATAAAGAAATTGCTATTTATAATCCCCCCGGTTATGTAAAGGTTTTTGATTTTTAGAGCTAAGAAAAAGTGGTAACAGATAAAAAAAAAAAAAAATAAATAAATATACAATAGAAAATTAATACCTTTTGTGCTTCGTATTAGTGGCGTAGTTAGTGTTTCGTCTTGGGGGATATACAAAATTAAATTTTCCACTTCCCTCTTTAAACGAAAAAAAATTGTATCTTCGCCATATACTTTTTGTTAAATTGGGGATAAGGGACCCATATTCACCCCCTGATTACACTAGTTTTCTACATATAAGCTAAAGAAAAATTCACAAAAAAATTATTATTTTAAGAGAAAATGAGGTAGCAACATTGAATAAATCACATTGTATATTATTTAAAATCAGAATTTATTATTGATAATAGATTAACAATCTATGGAATTTTTAGGAGTCATATGTTTTAAGTGCAACAATAAATGACAAAATCAATGAATAAATTAAAATAGTTTAACAATTCATTATATACTTAAATAGGTAGAATTCTTTAAGCATTTATCGCAAGAAAAAATTAATAAAATAGATGTTCTTACCTTTTAAAAAATGACATTTTTCAGGTTTTATTTTTACAAATACTGTTACCATCGATAATATAATTTTCCAATTAGCTTTACTACAAAATTGATGAATAGTATTCTGAATTAACGAAAAATATGTATCTTCATCTAAATTATCTAAAAACTGATTATTTTGTTATGTTTTATATAATATATTTATTTTATCTATAAATTAAAATAATACCATTTCAAGCATTTTAAATGTTGCTTCAGGAGTTTTATACTGTCTGTATTCCTCAAATGCTACATCTAAGTGATAATTTATATCCGTTGCAAGCATATTTTTAAGCATAAGTTTAAACATCTTTTTGGCTGTTGGTTTAATGAGATATGGGCAACATTTCAATCGATTTAAATATACCCAAATGTCAGGGTTTTTTATAATCAATACACTAGACTAAAATTTGTATTGATTAATCCTAATATTTTTAATAATATAATATTCGTGGTTGACACAAATAAAATATTTTTAAATTTCCTGGCTTTTCAATAATTTTAGTAATTAACAAAAAAACCAAACTAGGATTAAGGATCATACATTAAATGGGTAGTATGGTTTTATTAATCCTCCATATAGAAGGAACAAATTCAACTGTATCAAAACAAAAACGAGCTATCACCAAATGATGTAGAAATTATAAAAACGTTACTATTATATGTTGGTTTAATTGTAAAAGTATACAAAAGTATTCTCTTATTGACAGCAATGACCATTTCCAAAATAAAGTTGATTCAAATATGGAATATATGGATAAACAAAATATAAAATAGTTGGGTCCCGTATAGATGATATCTGACAGTGAATAATATCACTATTATTAAAAAACGCTTTGATGCAAGTCTGTAGATAATGTTTAATTTTAAAAAATGAATGGATTATTCCAAAAGCTACATGATCTGCTATTTCCTTATTTATACTCTGATTACAAGTTTTATGATTTATAAGTGTAATATATAAATAAATAAATATATATATATATATTAATAATACATTAATATAAATAGAACTTATCTTAAAAAAAATATAATGATCAATATGTTATAAGTTATAGCTTTATAAAGTTCAAATAGAAAAATGAATTTTTTTACAAAAATCATATATTTTTTATTAATTTTGATGTTTGTTTTTACTGTGAAGACAAAATATTAAAGTATATTACATAAGCATTAATTTAAGATATATAAATATATATGTCAGTATTTCCGGAACACTTTAATAAATAAAAGTTGTAAAAGTTAATTTTTTGTGAAACAGTTTTCATTTTGAATCCCCCCTTGTGAGCAGTTTAGGTTTGGTAAAGGGTCAGAATTATAAAAAAATATACCAAATGATAGGTAAAACATCGTGCATCTATACAAAAAAATTGAAAAAATGTCGAAAATTAGAGATTTTTAAATTTGTAATTTTTTTGGAGATTACCTCCAATAATGGGGAACGAGGAAAATTTTTGAAGGTAATGTCTTTGACTAGATACGAATTGTGATCTTTTGACATATTGTTGAAAGAATTTGGTTCGGCGAGAGCTGAGAAAAAGTGGTAACAGACACAAAAAAAAAACATATAGTAAAATTATACCTTCTCAGCTTCACAGCTAAAAATTCACATGTGGAGTATAAGAAATTGGTAATAACTAACAATTATTGTTGTGTTATCGTGATTAATATTATTTATCTCATATGTTTGAAATACATAAATAATCAGTATGACTGATGATTTACTTTTATTGATAATTACAATCCAGATTTATATGCATTTATTAATTTTGCTTAAGCTATTTTAAAAGGATCAAAGTTCATGCAAATTAGTTGTTCATATATAAAATAGCATAGAATTATTTTAAGTTTTAGGAGGAAATAAATTCTTCTAATCACCCTAACACTATGACTCCAGTTAGATCAATCTTATTACTAAGTATTCCAGTCTATTGAGACAAATTTTTTCTGGTTGATTTATGATGTTAGGAAAAACATAAAAAATAACATTTTTGAATTACTTATAAAATTACTTTTTGGTAAGGGTCTCTTATTTATAAGAGTATCAACTTGAACTTTAAAAATAAAATATTCAATTAAATTTTTGTTTGTGAAAATAGCTTTAACTTGATAAGTTAATTTAAAATTCAATAAAGCATTTATTTTCAAAATACAATTTTACTTTAAATTGTAGGCCGTTCATTTACTATAGTAAATATATACAAAAAGTGAACTGCAATACAATAATATAAAATAAAAAAACATTTTTACTTTCTCTGACTAACAAGCTAACAGAACTTCATTTGATTATTCTTACTTGTGTTATAAAATGTTGTACCACTTGTAAATGTTTATGGAAAATATGATTCGGTTCTCCTGATAATAATAGTAATAAACTAGCAATCAAGTCTGTTAATATAATTTGACTTAACTCATCATTTGATTCTAAGAGAGATAATAAGGTTTTAATAATGTGATCTATATCTAATCTGTAACTAAAATAAAAAAATATAATATAATATAATTCACAAATACAGAAGAACAAAAATGATTTATAAACATATGAGATAATAAATACAATATTTCTATAACTCTCTGTTTTAATGTGTGCATTAAAATTAATTTGGTGTTCAATATAATTAATTTAAATTTAACATTAAAGGTTTATATAACAATTAAGTACTATATAGAGTGATAATTTAACTTTAACTCATACAATTATTTAAAAAATATAAAACATAATTTTTTTCTTATCAAAAATTAATAGTATTCTACATTATATGAATAAAATTAAAATATTGGCCTATCTTTTTCTTCCTTAATAAAATTGAATAAACTTTTTTGTTTTCTAAATGGAAAAGATATACTGAATATTTCTTTTAACGCTAGCCACTTAATTAATTAATATTGATTTTTTTGAAAACATTTTTTTTGTTATTTGTTAATTACATATGTATTTCCTTTATGGTTGTCAACTTTATATTTTTTAATGGCAACTTACGTATTCTAGTAGCTTATAAAATAGAAAATGATCTAATTATGAAAATGACTAGTCGATAACAACTTTGGAAGTTATTAACAACTTGTATAACAACCCACTCATCACATCCTGATTAGTGGTGAAGAGTGGGTGCTGCTATTTTTATTACTAAGTATTTCAAAGAGATACTCTTCCTCCTACCTAGGTATGAAAATGAGAATAACTTCCTAAGTATTGGTCTAAGCTAGTTTAATATGTTTGTTGCCATATAAAGAAATAAAGCTCACACACGTATAAGATATATGAGATAGATCTAAAAAAATGTTTATAACAGATAAATGGAAATACATATGTAACTAACAAAAATAGAAAATAAATCCTCCTAACCTGGTATAAAAAACTAATATCTTTTAAAATACTGGTTCAAAAGTTGTTATCAACCAGTCATATTCTTAGATAAATGATCATTAGGGTAAGAAAAGGATTAGAACCAAATTTCTTTTTTGGAAATTATAGAAATTAGTTTTATTTTTTAATTATCATGATAAATGAATCACTATATAAATATAAATTATCTACACAGGGGACTGACATGTTTATAGTCTTTTGCCATTAGTTAATTCTTATTACAAGCAGTGTGTTAATTTGGTATTAGTAAAAGTAGGTTATAAGCAGAAAAAAGGTAAATTGAAAATTATTATAATACCGCTTGTATTTATAAATGTAAAAATTAAAAAAGAAAAATTTAAGTTACAAACCTTGTGATGAATTCACTAAAATCTATAATTTGCTTAGAATGTATTCTCCAAATTATTTCAATTGAGTAATTTTTTTCCTATAAATAAAATTAATAGAACATTATATATTAAAAAGAATTTAATTTGTGTTCAAGTTGAGTTCAGATTAAATACATTAATCATATATTTATCATATTATAATTGTTATCATTTTATTTATAGTTGAAATATTTTTTAATTAAATATTTAACAATACTAGTCTTTTACTTGGAGCAATAAAAAACTTCTTAAATTTTCAAAAAAAAATGGTATATCAGTTAGTTCCAAAAATTTGCAGATTATTTGTCTATCTTCTTTGTTTAATAAAACATGTAATTCTTTATTTCTTAAAAATAAGTTGTTTAGCTTTTCTAAATTCGGTAGTAAAAACATTGTGTATCTACAACAAATAGGGTTTATTAATAAATAGCTCAATAAATTTTAACCACAAATTTTCTATCATTGAGATAGATTATCTCAATAGCATATTTGTATAAAAAAAATCTAAGTATTAAGATTTAATAATAACAAATATATATCAAAATCTTTGGAATACAAGTGCTATTTTAATTTAATTTTTTTCAATTTTGAGATATTGATATTACATAATTGGTGATATTATTTACATTTGTAATAAATGCTTATTTAATAAAAAAAAAGTACAAACACTCTTGTACGTTTTAAATTATCTATGTATAAAATTGAAATTTATTTATAATTGGATTTTTAGTTTTACAAAAACATATGAATGGATTGAATATAATTATGAATTATTGAAACGTACCTATTAGTAGGTTAAACTATATTATATCAATAATATATATCATTGAAGTTTTTAATTTATTAATGATTTATATGAAAATATAATAAAAATTAAATTGCAAAATTCAAAATCTAACAGTTAATTTTTAAAAATCTCAAATTCTTTATATCTTAGTTTATATGTAACAAGCTTAATGATTATAAATCACGTGTTATGTTATCAATAAATCAGCTGTTATTATAATGAATAATCGCGTGTTCGTTGACTAGTCACAGCTGAGGGAAAGTCATTCTTGAAAGTAACAGATGCGGTTACGCATTTGTGCGCACGATGGTTTATAAAAATTTAGTTACCGAGAGGTTGCGACTATCGCTATCAGCTTAGTCGGTGAGCAATACACTATTGCCCTTACTTTCAGAACTACTTTCCGTAACGCCTGAAGTGGCCACAGTCAGTGTATTTTCATCGCTATCACATTAGTTAGGAACGAACACGCTGTTTGTGTCCATCGTCATTATTGACGACACGTACGGTTGCGTGTTCAGGCACGCAGCAATTTCAAATGTATTTCCATCATCGTACAACACAATTTTTTACTTATTTATGAACGTCATTTGTTCATTTTATAGTTTTAATTTTTGCTCGATTTGTATTTATAAATATTGTTTTTGTTATTTAAATAATTTAAACATGTGCCACTGGAGCTATCAAAGTTCTACTATCGTAGGTTTTATATTTCTTGTTGTTGCAGTCTCAGTAAAATCTTGGGGTAAGTAAATATTCTTATTTAACTAATATTATCCGCATATTTAATTAACAGAATATTTTGCATAACTAACATGCCGTCCATGGGCTCAATCAAGCCGGTCACGTACGCCACGCGCTCCGGCGACCTTTTCATATTTCTCAGTCTCGCGACGTTCAACGTCGGACACGCAATGATAGATGGGTACTAATACTGCTAATATTCGGTGTTGTATTTCTACCCGGTTCCGCTACTCGTGGCGCCAGACCGTGGCGTACGTGACCAAAAACACGTACAACTCTGCTGCTGGGTTCTGTTTACTCATACGCCCACTCCCTTGATCATCATTGGGGTATATGCAATATACAACTGAAACCATTATTTTCAGGAATTGAATGTAGGTATATTGATATAACATAAGGTACTAGAACTATTAAAAAACATTTACAGTATCTAATGTTACTATTACTTTTTTTGCGAGTGCAGGGTCACTACAGCCTTCATATTTGATAATTATTTTATTACTCTTTTGTTAGCAAATGGAACTGTGACATAGTAATTAGAAAGTTAAATTAAAAAGTTTTATACGTTTTTTTTTCAATCTGAAATATCTTACTGTAGATAAAACTGGGTTGTAATAAACTAAATTCAGGTTGACTTTATTTTGGCTTCGCATGACAATATTAGTCATATAATTTGGCTCACGTCCTTTAAGGGTGTATTGAAGTAAAGAAGAACTATTTTTAAATCGATTTGCTACTCTCTATCTTGTTATCTTTTGTTTTTATCAACTTGTCTGGTAATGATTGCCAGATTTTTAATAATATAATGAACGATAAGAACTTGAAAAATTATGACCTTATCACAGTAACATTAGATATTAAAATAGTAAAAATTTGATAAAATAATGATATTTATAAATTAACCGAAACTAGTATTTTAGTTTTTATACTTAGCTGAGAACGTATTCTATTATGAGTTATTTAACTCTTTTAAATATCAAGGATTTTCAGTGATGCATAAAAGTATCCCATTTTATTTAATAGAAACCATCATCCTAATATTTATGTAAGAAAGATAGTTAATCATCTTTTATGTATTAATAGTCATTAAAAATAAAATAAGACTCAAGGAGGCTTGAGGAATTAGCCCTATTCAATAAAATTTTAGTTCGTGGTCTTTTATTTCTTTTTTTTTAATAGAACCCTGAGGTCCTATTAATCTCCTATCTTGTCAGTACCTTAGCAATCTTCATGTACACCTTTTTTTTTCAACCGTTAAGTTGGTTAATACCAATTGGATTAGTATATCCTGTTACATTTTTAAGTGCAGTGGTTTCCCGTTGCCTTTTGCACTGGTGTTTTTTTTGCGACTGTAAAAGCACGCGTATGGTAACCCATCCGTTCACATACGGTCGTAAACACGCCTTAACACTAGGGTTAAGTCAACAACTAGTGTTACCACCGCGCAACATTTCTTTATGTACATATATCTTGAAATTGTTTATGATTTACTCCTTTAAGGTTCTATTGTTTTTTCGTTTATATTGGTTCTTTACTATACCATTTTTATTTTAAATATAAAAATAACCTTAGTCTTGAGGAAAATTCCAGGTATGAATAAAAATATTTTTATTATGTCTAAATATCCAGGTTAACTAAAAAAATAATTATCATCCAAATGTTGGAAAGATATTCTTAATATTACGGATTATTTTTAAGATATCAGTCATTAACTGAGCAATTTTTATTCATCTATAACTTTCTTAATATCGATTTTAAGTATGTTTAGTGATATTATAGATCATTAATAATTTTCAACGAGTGTATTGTATGAAATGTATTAATTGATGTATGGAATTATCGAATTGTTACGACGACATGAATATTTCAAAATGATAGTTTTTAATTAATGTTGTAAATAAATAATTAAATGGCTGAGGTAATTGGCATCAAATTTTTTGAATTGTGTATGTAATATACAATAAAATCGATTATTATTTAGAGAAGACGTACATGTTTCAAATTCAGTTTGTTGAAATGTGAAAAACTTATACTACTATATAATTAGGATACATTCTGTTTTTTAATTTCTGTCATTAGAGGTCTACATTCGGTTAACCCGGTACTGATTCTGACACCTACTCGTTGGGTTGGATTGATTTGTATAATTTTCCAAGTATCTTAACATTGTGTTTCAATCCTTGTCTTACAAAAAACATTATTATTAGTATAATTATAGTAATTTTTCTGATGATATAATTTAATTTAACAATAGTCTTTTTGATACTAATTAATGTTATTATCTATTATGGAACAAATTATTTATCTTTATAAATAATTAAATAACTAATAATAAATATTATAATTTGTTTAAATTATAAACAACTTATTTTAGATATATGTGCGAGTGTCTGCAATTAAATTTTCCTAGACCTAATTTTATGAATTTCAGAAAAATAGTCTTCTGTAAAAAAAATAGCTAAGTTAATACTTTTTAAATCCAGACAAATAAAAATAAAATTTTGTTAAACAGCTTTACCTTCAAGAAAATTTCATCAGTCATTCAAAGTTTTAGAAAAATAATTTTGTAATATAATTAAATAGTAAAAAAAAATTTTTGGATACTTTATATTTCAAATTGAATGCTCCTAAGTAACATTTCTAAACGATTTTTAGAAACCATTAAAAGTATTTATGATAGTTAAAATATTTTGCGACATAATTAAACTTTTTAAATTAAAATAATATTAGAAGGGTTGTTATTTGAGCACTAAAGTATTTATTTCATAACATTACGTCAAACAAAACATTTTAAATTTAAATAAATTAAAAGTAGGAGTTATGCTTTTCCTTAGGTGTCAATTGTTACGTCAATTTTTATTTTTACTTTCAAATTATTCAGTATAGAACGTAGCAAACTATATATGATAAAAAATTAAATGTTTAATATTGTCATAAGTGATGAATAATAATTGAAATATATTATTTTATGAACTCCATAATATAAATATTAATATTTCCGTCATATGTGCTAGATATTTTTAACCTTCAAAAATAATTATTTAAAAGTTGTTAAGTAGTTATAAATTAGATAGAATTTTGCCTGGATGCATTTTTTTAATTTTTTAAGCACATATTAAGACTTGTAGTTAAAATTTTATTTTAAATTACTAATGAAGCTTAAAATGTTTCGCTATTTTTACGTTAATATTTATTAAAAAAAAATTTTTTTATGAGACACATGTATTCACTTTTAATTGTTAATAAAAACTCTAAAATTTGAAGTCAATAAAATAGATTTTATGATAAAACTTTAAATATTTACCTGCAGTAAAAAACGTTACATGAATGATACAAATAAAAGCCTAAGATATGTTGTCAATAGTTTCTATTGACTAATATTTTTTTTTTGTTAAAAAAAAACACGTTAGCCTTTAAAAACGAATCATCATTAGTTTATCAAATATATTGTGTAAAAAAGAAGGTTGAATGAAAAAGAGTTAAATTTATTTGTTATGAAAGTTTATATAGTATGGTTTATTTTTGTCCTCTAAAAATAATTCACTCATTTGTTTGGTTCTATAGTAATTATAGTTAGTTTTAATATTAATTTTAGCTTTGATGAGAAGCTGAAATGTTATTGGTTTTCTTAGTGTGTATATTTTTTTTTTATGCGTATTGGATTTCTCAGTTCGTACATGATCTATTTTAATGATAAATACGCTAAAAAAAAATAAATTTTTATATAGTTGAACCTATAATTGGCGATAATTAAAAAAAAAACCATGAATTTTAGACATTAAGCAAATAATTTAAAATTACGCTAGCATAAAAAATGGTATTTCCAGATAATTTTTTCTAAATTTTAAAAATTATACCTTTTTTAAAATACTGATTTTAATAAAATATACTAGAGACAATTTCTTTTTTTGTATACTTTTTGTGATAATTCATTGAAAAACTTTTGTGCAAGAAAATGTTTGAAAAGGATCACCCATGCACGTAAAACAAATTCTATTCAACTCAATTTTTAAAAATGTTTCGGAATCCCTGACAACTTTTAATCTATAAAAAATTATAGCTCTTAAAGGGTACTTTATGATGAAAAAAAAAATAAATACCTCATAATATTTTTCAATAAGTTATTTGACTTTAAAGCCAGGAATTGCAAATTTCGTAATTTACTTTTATTTTGTGAGATATATTTTGCATATGCCGCGGTTCATTGAAAAATTACAAGTAGACAAATTATTTATAAAATTTAACAGATTCTCACCGAAGTGTTTTTATATATGTAATGTCAATCACTGTCATATATAATCAACTCTATTAACATTAGCTACTCGATATCTCTTAAAATAACAATTCCTTTTGGTATTTTTTTTTTTCATATATTTCTCAATTTATTAATTATTAATTATTATTTATTTTTTTAATTTATCCCTTATACTTTATTACGGGATCAACTTTATTTATTTTTTTTAATTTTAACATATATAATTAAATAGCTTATTTAATAGATAGTGATCTAATTAAGCAATTGACTCGTTGATAATAACTTTTGACCCGTTATTTGAGAAGTTATCAACATTTTTAGGTATTGAGTGAGGAAAGAGCGGGGCAGGGTATTGCATAATGATAAAAATAATAAAATCCGCAACTCCCTCACCTACACTCTATATTTTAAAATAATAATTAACTTCCATAATATTCAACTAAATTAGTTAAATGCAAGTTTATTATTCTCAAGTTAATACAAAATGTAAATGGTATAATTTTGTCTTGCATGTTTTGAACATATCATATCCATTAACAATTACAACTGACAATATATTCCCTATTGTAATCACTATTTCTTTGTCTATATAATAACAATTAAAAAAATACACTACTTAATATGAATTTCAAGTGCTTATTCAAAATTATTATTTTTACAAAAAATGAACAAAGTGAAAAAAAGCATAAAATGTAAAATTAAAGAAAAAATGTATGGATGTCGATGATAAGACATTAAAGCGATTA